ATACGATTAAGCTCAGGGAATCGAGACCACTGTATTCCAGCCACCTGCTCCACATTAGCCAGTTCCCCATACACATCCTCCCTGAGCTGCTTGAAGGACACAATTGACTTGTGGGCAGCAGGGATTGAAGCCTTGACAATTCGTGCCAAGTTCCTGCCCTGAGCCAGTGCCTCACTGGGGCAAGGTTGAATGTCCCCTGGCCGGATAAGAGAACAGCGTTTCAGTCCAAGTTTCCTGGAGAATATTTTTGAAGCTTCCCAGGAGCGCATATCTCCCCCCAGCCACAGTGTGACTTTCTTGAATTGCTCCAGATAAGGCAGGAGGATCGGAGGCAGACAGCTTACACCCCGTGGCAAGGCCAAAGATGGAAGACCGGTAGCCTGATTCACCGCCATGCTGTCTACCTCACGTCCCGTGAGCACAACCTCACTGTCCTTCCGTCCTATCAAAGGCAGGCCGAAGAGGTTGTGGTAGCTGGAGATTTTTGGAACCGTCGCTTCGATGTAGACCACGCGTCCGTCAGCTTTCATGGCAGCAGAAAGCAATTTAACACCCCGGAGACACAAGTCACGTCCACTAAACCAGGGGAACACCAAACACTTGGTGGGCTTGAAGAACCGGACACCAAATTTCTTCAGTGTGGCATTGGTGAGTTTACCAATCTGAAACATGGTTTTAATGAGCTGCACTTCCTCATCCAGGAGGTCGGAAAACGGCATAGAGCTGCTCCATATTCTTTGCACCTCCTTCATCTCCATCTCTCTTTCTTCTTGCTCCTCCATGCTCTCAGGAAACCCCAGCAGCACGTTAGGGCTGATGGAGGTCTGACTTTCATTCAACATCACCTCAATGCAATCCTGGAGGTCCTCCCAGCTCCCCTCCACTAAAGTCTCCTTACACAGAAACTGTCCCGTGGTTTTATCGATGAACAGTGAGTAATTCTCTTTTCCAGACCCTTCAGGTGCTGGTTGCATAAAAATACTAGGTGCATGTAAGCAGCTGTAGCCATCATGGAAATGGATATCTTTGGAACGAAGATACTGCTTGATATCAGTCACTGTGAGGTGCTGGGCAGGGAAATCAATGATTGACTTTGCATCTTTTCTTAATGTTCTGAAGAAATATAATGCAACAGCAGGTCTAAAATGGTTTTCAAAACAATACCAAGTTGGTGCCCTAAAACAACGCTGTAGGACTGGATGGAGGCAGGGCTGGTAAAATGATAGATATCCCCAGGGTGGAAGATGAGAGGGTTTACAAGGAATACAGCCCGTCCCCTGCAAGAGACAGCCTGCCCCCCTGAGAAACCTGCTCCTCCGCATTTAACTGTTAATTCAGGACATCAGACCTGCAATGATCACAGAAAATTTGCACAATAATATGCAGTTTAAAAATGTGACTGAAACTGAACTTGTCATAAACATGGGTCATTTGTGCTATGATTTATCTTTTGAACTTTTAAAAGTCAATATACTTGAGTTGTAAGTTAAGCCCACAAAACCTACCGTATCATATTTGTTTCAAATTTCTAAGGCCTCGAAACTATCAACATGATCAAAACTTTGCAGAAAACCTGTTGTTACACGCCTTCTGTTGTCTGATTGATAGTTTATACTTTTTATCAAGTAAAAGTATCATTCTAAAAATGTTCCCCTTCAGGTCGTGGTACCCATGTCATGATCTTTACTGCAAAAATAAGCATAGCTTTTATATTGTTAGTAATATTTCAGGATGAACACTTGGACAGAAGCAACTTTAGTTGCTTCTTGATTATAAATAATATTTTTTTAGAAAAAGCATGTTAAAATGTATTGAATATAATAAATCTGGCTTTTGAATAACATTTATTTGTACATCTCTGAATCATCATTGTATTTCATTGCAATATATGTTTTGCCGCCCACAACAACAAAATGGCAACATCTACTCAAAACCAAAGTAATGAAATTATTTACCTGTTACATTTTCTGTGATATTATGTTTAAAAAATATGATTTCAATATTTAAAAATGTAAATTACAATATATTAATATATTTATGATGGGGACATGAAAATGTAGGCTACTGCATAACAGAAATTACTTACCTATCATTAATAGCATCATCAATCATTAATAGATTATATAATATATAACAGGTCATTAGTAGATCAAATAGTTGCAAATGTCATTTATATATTTTCATATAAGAATGTACATGAACTACTGATGTATTATAATGCTTGCTACGGATTCATTAATGAAAGTTATTATAAAGCGTCACCAGAAAAATAACTATATATTGTCTATGCATGACCCTTAACATTATTACTCAACCATAAATGTACATGTATCTATAAAATTAATGAAACTACTGAAGAGAAACTGTGGCAAAAAAAAAAAAATGTATAAGAAACAAACATACCGTAAACATTTGAAATTACATATTGTACACTTACTATTCTGTAAGAAGCGCGCCAAACTGTTAT